AAAAGTAACGGAGGGAAAATTGTGCAAGCAAGTAGAAGGTGCATGATTTTACATAATTTGTCAGTTTTTTTCTTCTGAATACTTTAATATTACTTCAAAATGAAAGGAAACTATTTGTATAAAATATGTCAGTCCTTCCAAGCAAATTTTTATCATTTTAAATACATAAAAAAAAAAAAAAAATCATGTACCTTCGTCAACAGTTCAAAGATCAAATAACACAAGATATGATGAAATACATCCATTTATTTACATGATTTGCAGGTCTTTGAAATTTGGGAAATAATTTTTGTTCCATGTTGCATACATGGTCTATTTAAAACGTATGTAACTTTAGAACCAAAAATGACCAAAAATGATACAGAAAAAAGTAAACAGTTTCATAAACTAGAGTACATATGCTATCTGTTGAATACATTTTTATTTCAGATGCATTAACTTGAATTTTTGGCCTTGCTGTTTACTTCTGCTTGACTGGGCCCAATTATCTTTAAAAAGAAAAAACTCAAGAAGTTAATGTACAAATGAAAACAAAATTAAGGTTTTTGGATTAACAGTGAGGTTGCCAGTCATTATTATTCACAGAGCCCATTATAACATAAAGCTCACGGGAGTCAATTTTGCACCCTCACTCTCATGTAACAGATAATACTCCCTACAACTGTACAACTCACCCTTATGTAACAGATAACCCTGTCCTGTCAATCATCATATCACCTTTGCACTGTTTTTCTCATGACCTCTTGTATAGAGCTGAGATACTTTTTTATTACTTATTTTCTATTTAAAATTTACCTTTACATTTACATTTATATAATTTTTTTTCTTATTTGACACTGGTCTCTTGCTCTTTTTTGCTACTTATTTTTAAAAACATATTATTACCATTTATAGTTTTGCTCTTTGTTATTATAATATATTGTGATGTGTGAGCTCCTTTGTCCAAATAATTTCCCTTGTGGATTAATAAAGTTTGTCTAAGTCTAAGTCTAAGTATAATACGCAATAAACATTTATGAAATCATCTTGAATAGATACAATAGGCGGAAATGATCTCCAGAACTTTATTTACATTATCATTAGAAAACAAAACATGTAATTACACTGGATTTTATGAATTCAGAATCAAGGTAAATGTAATCAATAATGTATATTCTTGTATTTATCATTTTAATAAAACCTAAAGGGCCCATATTACACTGTTTTCTGATCTGTTATAATTGTGTGTAATATAGGACCTTTAAATACAGCGTTACACATTTGATAGACTTACAAAGTGAAGCAAATATTAACACTCAAAACCGTAAAAATAACTTTACTTTGAAACCATTTTACTACAAAATCAACAAAAGACATAAACATAAACAACACAAATCTATGTACAGTATATTTGAAATAAAGTAACATAACAATATTATCACTTTTGGTCTCACGTCGTTAAAACATCTCAAACAAAAAAATAAATATTTGTCATTATAAAATATTTGTGCTCAGTATCCAGCCCCGCGAGGCAATCTTCAAAAGTTGTCATAGCCTATTTTTTACTACTTTTTGGCAAATAATAACACATCTGCATCTTGTATTTTGTTGATTTTATTTTATTTTTTATGATATTTATATGAAGTATTTATATTTACATTTAAATAATTATATGACGTATTTATATTTGCCGCCAAATTTTCGTCACCTGACAAGCTTGAGATCAAACAGTGACAGTCAACGCACGTGCAGAGTTCTGTAGTGCAGTTCAAGACAGCAAAATGGCTAAGAATGAAAAGTTTTCTTAAGAAAGAGAGTGCCAAGTTTTCAAAGAACAGTGGATGACCGATTGTTTTTTTGTTCAGTGTAAGGAGTGTCCAGTTTGTCTGATATGTAAAGAAAGTGTGGCGGTTTTCAAAGAATATAATCTGCGTCGTCAGGCTCATACAATTCTGTTATACGGCCGACCCGACCCCGGCCCCCATCACAGTCAGGAGCCATAATGTGGCCCCCAAAGAAAAAAGCCTAGTGACTCCTGATCATATGCAATGGTGGTCGATATCGGGTATTATACTTTCAATTGTCCATCCATCCGTGAATTGACCCATTTAAATTGCGATTGGGACCTGGCCCTATAGAGGCTTTGCATCGTCACGTGTCCCCCATGGCAACGGTAACTACGCCGCCATGATACCGGGCACGCTATGCCATTAACTTCAGTAGCATCGGAGAAACATGGGCAGGTTTTGTTGTGTATTTGGTTGTTCTAGACGCTCTGAAAGGGATAAAACGATTCGTTTCTTCATGTTCCTCTGGAAATTACTCATCAGGAAAAAAGACATGGATTATGGCTACAGAATATAAACTGTGAGATTTCCTATGGTACCATCAAGACACACTCACGTCACTTTCATCAAGGTATTTGCTATTTAAATTGTTTCATAGCTTATTTAATGAGAGAAGCACATTTACTGAACTAAAATGTAAAAAGAAAACATTTGGCAGGAGAAACTGTATCTTCCAGCGCACATATAAACATGTCACTCGTCGTAGGACCCATGTTTTCTTTATTGCCTTGCTTATCCACAGCTATGTCTTCTAGAATTAATCACTTTTTTTGAGCAGATCTTTCTAACGTTCTCGAGGGTCTTTTCATGGCCGATTCTTTCGAGGTTCGGCTCACAGACTCTTCAACTCGTGCGTCATGTTGATCATAGGAGCCCAGTGTGGGTTCGTTGAATCATAAACTAGTGCGGGTTTTCCTGGATAAATTTATGAAATTTTTGTTCAGTAAATGTGCTTCTTTCATTGAATAAGCTATGAAACTATTTAAATAGCAAATACCTTCGGTTGTCTTGATGATGTACCATTGGAAATCTCTTCGCGGTTTATGTTCTCTAGCCATAATCCGTGACTTTTTTTTCGATAATTTCCTTGTTTGAGCTCCTGATGAGTAATTTCCAGAGGAACAGTGAAGAAACTAATCGTTTTATCCCTTTTAGAGCGTCTAGAACAACCAAATACACAACAAAATCTGCCCACGTTTCTCCAATGCTACTGAAGTTAATGAGTGCGTATACATGCACATCAATAACCCGGTTATTAGCCATATCCCGGTTATGTCAGTATTCGGGTTACTGCGTATACATGCGCACTGAGAAACCGGGATACTCATATCCGCGTATATATGATCAAATGGAGTATCCCCGGTTTCTTGACATAATCTTACAAATGCGCAAGGCGCAAAAATTAACTTAAATCAATTTCATAAACCAGGAAAAATACAAACCGTGAGCTCCTTTAGCATAAGAAGCTAAGGAGCTACGAGATCTCCCACAATCCACTGCGCAGATTCTTCATTAAAATCTTCTGCATAAATAAACTCAACTTTACAACATATAAACCAGAACCACTATAGAGCTACATCAGCCCGTTTGATAATATAATTCAGCTCTGATCACATTTGTTTACGTTTTACAGAAACGAAACTTAAGACTGCATCGCTAATTAACATAAACTGTTACATTAGCAGTGATAAAAACAACTCGCTCCTTGTGCCTCTGATGTGGTTCAGCTTCTTTTGGACTAAATGACACGACTCTGTGGATTATGTGTGTTATTTCTGTGACAGAAGAGGTGCTAATGATGGTAAGTGTGTTCCGTGCATATAGAGTATAGGAGATAGTTCATGTTTTAGCTTTTCAGCGTCACACGAGTGCAGGTCGTACGAGTGCAGATTGTACGTGTGCAGGTTTAGCGCAGCTTTTTATTTTACAGTCATTTCACTCGTTTGGTCACTTCATTTATTTTGGTCAATTTATTTATGTGACTACTGTTGTGGTGAAAGGCTGGAAAGTGTCTTTTGGACGCATGCGCACTCAACTTTATGTTGCAGTAACCGGGGTACTGCGTATACATGACACAAGTAACCCGGTTACTATCGGAATAAACCAGCTACAGTAACTCGGTTTCTAATAACCGGGATACTGCCATAACCGGGTTACTGAAACCGGGTTACTGCGTATACATGCACCATCAAGAAACCGGAATACTCAAAAAACCCGATCATAACACTCACTCACTCACTGACATAGTGTGCCCGGTGTCATGGCGGCGTAGGGACCGTTGCCATGGGGGACACGTGACGGTGCAAAGCCTCTATTGAAGACCCAGACACTAGGCCATGTTACAGGCCAGTTCTGTGGAGAGGAGAACCTACTCACAGTATGAATTAAGCTGGGTTCAAATTAAGAAAAAATATCTGAGTCAAATGCACCAATGAAGAAAATATTAATATTATAAAACCCAAGACGTGGCTCATATTGGCCTTTCACTGAAGATGGAGATGAGCAGATCGCCGTTGTCCAAGTCGTTTCCATATTTTGGCCTAAATAAAAACATGTTTAGTACTGGTTTAATACAATTTACACAATTTTCTGATTTGTGTTTTAATGTTGTTTCCTCATCACAAACAAACCTGGAGTTGTGTTTTGATTCACTCACACGCTTAACACACCCGCCTTGCATATTTAGTCTTAGCTCTTCTATCAAGCATAAAACACTCTGTTCCACCTTGTGATGTCATATAATACAGGATATTATAGGAAGTGCTCCACTGTGTTTTTAAACTCCATACACCTTCACTAAAATTGTTTGGATAATTTCAGCTCTGGACCTGCCAATCTCTGCTGAACTAAAAAAAAAAACACCACTTGATGAACAGTAATAACAGTAATAATAAAGGGTTACTCAAACATGTATGAATGGATCAAAACACAAACCTGGGTATGTTTTTGATGAGGTAACATCATTGTAACATGGCGTAAAGTTCACAAGAATCTATTTTGTGTAATACAGGAACTTTGAAGTCATTATTTAGCCCTATTGTCGTTCCTGCCTTATTGAAAAGATAAATAAACACGTTTAGAGCTTTAACACCTTCAAGACACTGTTACATCAAGGAAACACTCACCCAGACACACAAACATTCACACACCACTGTACATAGACACTGGGGGCGAGGGAGGACTAAGTGTCTTGCCCAAAGGCACAACAACAGCATTCATCAGTGGGAGGTGGTATCAATACTGTTTTATGTGGGAGCAGGATTCTAACCTCTGAACTTTGGATCAGAGTTGTGGTCTGGTCTTGTTTTTGTCCTGTGTTTTACCTGGCAGTAGAAGTACAGTGCAGTGGTGGAGATGAGCAGGATGAGAACATGGATCCCGGCTCTCAGGAGCAGGTCTGAGTCTGCCACTGTACAGATGTTAAACATAAATATAATCATAAAACAAAGGATCTTCAAACAGCTAAAGAACTATACCTCCACGGCCGATGTACAGGGTCACGTTCTTTAGGATTTTACTTGAATTAACTTCACTGTAACCACAGGTGTAGTTCCCTGTGTGTTCAGGACCAAAGGCTGTGAACAGGAAGTGTGCAGAGTGATTGACAGATGGCAGGGTGTAATTCCCACTTGGAGCCAGCAGGTGGAAAAAAACCAGAGTAGAATGGTTTATCTAAAAAGCAGGAGACACTGAAGTCTGCACCGGACCTCACAAGAGCCCTGTGCCCCCTGGACTGAAAAACTCCCTCTGAGGAGACCAACGTCTTGACACCAGGGTAGAAGTCTGTGGAGAGAAAACTGTCATGAAATAATCAGCAGATTATCGTGCAGTTTCAAAAATATAGTTCTGGGATTATAGTCAACCATGTAATCCACATGAGCATTTTTATAAATGTTACAATATAGTACAGACCTGAGCAGGTCAGAAACACACTCTTGTTGTCCTGGGTCCTGTTGGAGATGAGACAGTCTCGGAGGACAACTCTCCTCTTCACACACTCAGGGTCCAGCCACCAGAAAGGCCCTTTATCAGAGTAATAATAAAATTTAACTGCCAAACCACAGCCCAGTTTTTGACACAGAGCAGAGCCCAAATCCAAATCCCAAACTGAAGTCGTCACTGGTCTCCATTCGTCCTGGTGCCTCAGATGCAGGACACCACGACAGTGAAGTTCATCGAGCCACAACGTATCATCATCTGGACACAAACAAAATATACAGTGAATATAAAATGTGAGTCTTGACAGAAAATAATGATTCATTCAATGTAATGAATAAAGAAATAATCACCTTAAACATTTCATATTCTAAGTAAGTCTTTATTTCTATAGCGCTTTTCATGCAGACATTTTGTCACAAAGACACTTTACAGAGCATTATTCATTCACTCTATACCTGGTGATGGTAAACTACTATTGTAGCCACAGCTGCCCTGGGGCAGACTGACAGAAGCACAGCTGCCATGCAAATAGGCCATCAGTCCCTCCGACCACCACCACCATCACTCATGCACACACCACTTTTATACTGTGGGTGAAGTGTCTTGCCTAAGGACACACAACAACAGTTGTGCACCAGTGATAATTTCCACCTGGGCAGGTTCATTGATTGATTGTATTTAACTGACCTTGACTATCAACTGTTCTTCCTGGAGACTTGTAGCATGTTTTGGGTTGATGGGGGAAACACGGGGAGAAACGTGTAAACCCCACACAGAAAGGCCCTGGTGACCCGGGAATCGAACCCAGAACCTTCTTGCTGTGAGGCATGAGTGCTAGCCACTCAGCCTGTCTAAAGTCCAGTGTGTACAGGGTAAACAGAACTGGTGACAGTACAGTCCCATGTACCTCTGTGTCAGAGGTGCTGTGCCCCAATCAGACAAACAGAGATCCCCCAGTGAGGTAATCTAGTAATCCAACTAACCAGCAGGTATTTTTATTGCTTGTATATACTTGTCTAGATCTTTGCATTTTACGGTGAAAATCCATACAGTAAAAAAAGTACAAAAAGAGTATTAAAAACACAGTATAACTGCCGATTGTTGTCAAAACAACCAAGCTTTAATTTTTGAGGTTCTCAAATGCTAATGATTGTATAGATTTACTGAAATACCAAGAGTTTAAACACTGAAAAACAAGACTGTACACATTTCACAAGTGTTTGTTAGTGTCAAACTACAGTGAGTAGAGAAACCAACACAAATCTAATATTTAAGCCTGCAATTAATTTTTAGAACTATGAGGAAAAAAAGATTCCTCAAGCTAAATCTTATTAGTATTGTGTATACTCATGTTATAATTAGTATTAGTAGTATTTGTATTAGAGCATGTGTATATGGTATATCCTGAAGGTAAACATCTAGAAAAGATGATGACAAGATTGTATTTCACAATAACATAGAAATCAATCATTTCTCCTTCAAAACCAAATTACGCTGTAAGAATCTGGAACAGAATGGAGGGCGTGTTACCTGTGCAGGTGATGTTGGCAGCAGCTGAGCAGAGCGTCTCAGAGCTCTCACAGTCCTTCAGTGCTGCCTCTGCTCCACTGCAGTGAAAGGACCTCCCCACAACAGATCCCTCTGTAATCAGCGCCCCCTGGAGGTCAGACACTCCTCCACAATCCAGTTCCCTGCAGATTATTTCAGCCTCAGTCTGACCAAAGCCCTCTGCACACACTGAGCTCCACAACTGGTCTGTGTGCACCTCCAGAGAACCAGAGCACCGGCCTGGACCACCGCTCAACCGCACCGAGTCTGAAAACCACAAACAAAACCACGACAAGTCAAGTGAGGAGCAGGAGGAGGTGTCTGGGGAGAGGGAGGAGGAAAAGGGAGAACTAGGATGTAGAGCTGTACCTGGTTGTGTAGTTAGATGTCTGGTCACAGACATACTCACTCCAGACAGCATTGCAGTGATAAAGATTTGATAAGAAGTGTTTGGCTTCAGGTGGAGGAGCTCTGCAGTCCTCAAGTATCCTGGGACAGCTACCACCTTTGTGTGAGGTTTTGTTTCTAGAAGAAACATCCACAACTCACTGTCGCTAAAAGTCCATGAGACACGAGCTCTCCTCGGCTGAACGTCGAAGAAACTCAGAGATTCAGGCTTTGGCAGGTCTGAAAATAGAAATGAATTTTGTCACTATCCACAAGAATCTACTGCAATACTGTGTTTAATTAGTGAACATGCTGCATGGAGAATTACTCTGCATGTAAATGTTTTACATTCACTGGTTCAAAAACAATGTTAAATATTTTATTGATAAACACATTACTCGTTTAGTGACTGTGTGTCACTAGTAAAGAGCAAACCCAATGGCAGTAAAGACAGAAGGGCTCTCTATGATTCTGTAAATGTATAGCCCCCAAACTCCGACCCATGATGCCTTGGGCCTCTGTTAACAAACACTGATCAACTAATTATTTACTAATTCTTCTATTTTGTGATTGTCATTAAGTTCTTAATAGTAAAACTCAGAGCTGCAGTGACTTCAATCACACACAGATGAAAAAGGAGCAAGACGAGGCAACAACTCACCCAACTTCTGTTTGATCCAACGACAAAAAGACTGAGTTAAGTCTCTCAAAGTGTTTGGAAAACCACTAAAGTCTTTTACAGTGTAGACTTCAGTTTTATCAAGACCCATGCCAATGTCCTTTAACTCACTGTAATCTGCACCTTTAACTCCAACTATAAACAGTTTTGCATTTTGTCCCCGAAAACGCTCAACAGTGTTTCTGTTTATGCCCGATGAGTTCCTGTCACTGATCACAATCAGAGCAGAAGGGACACTGAATATAGCTCCTTGGTCTGTGTGGAAAATTGTTTCCACAACAGATTCCACAGCGTCAGTGGTCAGGTCTCCAGGAGAAGCAGGACTTTGTGAGATCTTCCTCACTGCACTGACCACAGAGGGCAGATCGTGATAAGTGTTCAGGTAAAACTCAATCTCAGGTTTTCCACCACACTTCACCAGAGCAATCTGAACCGAATCAAGACCAACCACACCGAGGATCTGGACCAGAGCCACCAGGAAATCCTTCACTTTGGAGAAATCTTCTGAACTGATGTGGTTGAATCCATCCAGAAGCAGCAGCACATCAGCTCTGTGGTCCTCACTCAGAGAGCACTCTGCACAAGACAGGAGACTAATCAACACAACTTGGACTAAATTAAGGTTTAAAGATGTATCATAATTATGTTATATTTTGGTCATGGTTAACAGCAAAACTGAACTAAAACAGCTTTATAATTGTAAATATTTTATTGACTTCTTGTTAAATAAATAAATAAATAAATAAACAACTTTATAACATTGACAGCACAAAATTAATAAAATAAAATCAACGTCAACTAAACACTTTCAAAATAAAACAATCTGCACTGATGAACTGCAGAACGAGCCTTATCGTGAAAAGGTTTTAAAATGACAATGCACTAACTCTGGGCACAAACACATAAAGCTGCCTGTCCAGAGCCACAGCGACTTCAGCTGATTTTTATGGCCTAAGTCAAGCACTGAATGGAGCATTTCACTTTAAATAAATGAACAGAACATGTAAAAGAACAGAACAGACCAGCTGTTAATGCAGAGTTTTAAACACAGATGAGCTCTCACAAAGTTATTCTAATATGCCACATTATGACCGGCAAAAAATAAGAACTAAATGCAGCAGAAGACAGGAATTTATGTGACTTTTTTTTTTCTTTCTTATTACATTGCTAAGATTGTTATGTCCACTTTAATAGCCAGTTTTAGAGAATAGACTGTTTAATTTTTAATTTTAATTTTTAATTTTAGATAGGAGGCAATATTTGAGATCAGGAGATGAGAGGTAGGAGGAGAAGTGGAGAGAGACACGGATGACATGAAAGAATGAAGGGAAAAAGCAAAGGACAGATATATGTTACACAGAGTTCAGGTGCTTCTGGAGACGTGTCTGTAGAAAACTAGTCCATGTGAACACATGAAACGTGATAAGAAGACAGGTGTAAATGTCCCAGGGAGCAAGAACTCACAGAGTGGATTTTGGAAATATAGAACCTTCTCAAATGACTGAGAACCAGTGTTTGGACTGCTGCCTCTGCAAACTGTCCTTATGTGGGTGACACCTTTTTAAACTTTGTAATGTGGGTGACAGTGAATTAACCAGATCTTCTAATCCATATTACAGGAATATCCCAGGACACAACACCAGACAAACTCCTTTCTAATCTAAACTTGTCCTTTTTGAAGCAGTGAGGAGGTATGTACCTGTTTGAGGGTTCTGTGTGATCTGAGCCCAAGTCCCTGAAAAACACACAGATTAGATGAGTCTCAGTTATTTTAGACCATTGATTGTGTTCAGCATGAACTGTGATAAACCTGTGATCAGCACCATATTTCACATGTTTTCTTCCCATCAGTCCACTTTTCTAACTCACTGGTTTGACATTTTGAGCATCTGTACAAACTGATACTGTATAAATGGACACAATAAAATGGAATGGCAAATTAAAGGTCTTATTTTACACAAAATTTCTTCTTGTGTGTAATATGAGCCCTTTAATCAGAAACAAAGCAAGAATATATGCCATGGTTTGGAGGATCTGAGAGTTTTGCCAGTTTTTCCACCACTGACACTATAGGCCTACTCCACATTTTAATTTAGTAGATCATCAATACAATAATTTTGATATTATCTTTTTTAATAACTTCCAACCTACACTCAGCAAGTTCTGCACAGCTTGCCTACCCTGGTTTAGTCCAGTTTTTGTCCTGGTTTAATACAAGTTTAGTCTTGGTTTATTACTTTTTCTTGAACATTTATCTCTTTGTTTATTTCCATTTTGTGTTTCATTGTCAGATTTTCATATTTTATTTTTGCTGTTATGATATTTGGCAATATGTGTCATGTTTTTCTTTTAAATGTGACATGCACGATCATAGATATACTCTGTGAACACTCTGATGTTCACGAGCGGCTCTGCTCCGCGCGCTCCGCTGATCTGGACCCGCGCGCGCTCCGTGACAAAAATAAAGGTCACGTGTGAGCACTAAAACGAGTCAAATGGGCTCAATATTTCACCAAACTGCTGCAGAACACTGGAAGACGCCAGGACAACTCGAACATCTTGTATCTGTCACCATAAGAGACACTTACACCCGCAAGCGGCAGTGAAGGGTCTTTTACCCACTAAACCTGTTGCTTAGTAGAGCAACATTAACCTGGAACATGTGGCCACACTAACTCATTATGAAGTGCGATTTTTACACTTAAATTATTGCCACTTGAACTTTAAAATAAGAAATTTAGATTTATATAATAATTAAGATATTATAATTTTTTTTTTAAAAAAATTTAAATTAGAAAGTTGAAATGACATTAAAATGAGCACTCATTCTGATTTTTTTTAATCATTTGACAGCACAAAAAAATAAAAATAAAAATAAAATAAATAAATAAAACTCATTCATACACTTGTCTAACGTCTGTGTGTCTCTCCACCATGTTTCCTCTACAGGTTTCTAATTATGAGATGAATAATAATTAACAGTAATAAATAATAACAATCAGCAGTGGAGTGGTAATCGGGAGACACAGGAGATTTCTCTTGATGGGAGAGGAGTGCGGCCGGAGGAGCGGCTGCAGCTGCTCTTCCCGCCGGCCGTGCGCTCCCTCTCACATCTCTCATGTGACCCCAAAACCTCAGAAAAGTTCCTCCAGAGCAAACTGCTGTGTCAAGGCGCTGTTAACGTCAACTAAACACTTTCAAAATAAAACAATCTGCATTGATGAACTGCAGAACGAGCCTTATTGTGAAAAGGTTGTAAAATGACAATGCACTAACTCTGGGCACAAACACATAAAGCTGCCTGTCCAGAGCCACAGTGACTTCAGCTGATTTTTAGACCTAAGTCAAGCACTGAATGGAACATTTCACTTTAAATAAATGAACAGAACATGTAAAAGAACAGAACAGGCTCTCTTTCTTTTTTCTTTTCTTTTTTTTTTTTTAACAACCACTCTGAAAAATAGGGCTGGTGGATTTCTGATTGGACGCTGCATTGCAAACTCTCCCTGTAGATTTCAGAGCCCACTCCGCCATAATAACAATTAAAATTATAAAAATGCTAACAAATAATAAATATATGTGTAAGTAGCCTATAAAAGATGAATAAAAGAAAAGTTTTACCAGAGCAGCAGAGCAAAAGGACAAACACCAGACGTCCAGAATCCATGTGTAGAATAGAAATAAACCAAGACCAAACCAGGACTGAACCAGGTCTAAACTAAACCAGGTCCGACTATGAGCTTGTTATGTGTTGTTCTTATCTGATGTCACTTCCTGCGTGTGACATTCAAAACTTATCTTTAAAACATGTGGAACTTTTTCTGCATCTTCAGATAATGAAAAAAAGCTGACATATATGTTTAAATAACTGTGTAGTGATGATCTTTAAGGCCCATTTACACTATTTGCTGATCTGTTATGTTGTTGCTTCATCATTGTGTTTTGTTTCCGTCACACAACGCACAAACGCTGCAAATTTAGGCCGTGTTCTTCTCTCAAATAGAAAACACTCCATCCACTCCTCCACTGTGTTTTTAAACTCCATACACCTTCAGAATCATTTGGATAATTTCAGATCTGGATTTGCCCGTCTCTACTGAACGAAAGTCAAAAAGCAATGTTGTGCCAACTCAAGTTTACCACACTTTCATAACAGTTGATCTCATTTTAATCATCAGTGCAGATCAGAAGTGTGGATGCTCTGAGCAGCTTTCTGTGGTTTTAACTTCTCATGAAAGATATAATATGATATGAAGCGGCTGCATGTTTCTGATGGTATCTCTTCTCAGTAATTTCACAGTACAAACTATAATGTGGAGATGTTCTGTGTATTGACTGTCATTATTTAGTTTGGAGCAATGAGATGCCAAAATAAAATACTTAATATTTTATTTGAACAAGAAAGCCCAAAAGGACACTGCACAAAATGTGACTACACAGCTCTCATATCCAAACTTAGGTGTCACAATGGACCCAGATCTAAAACTTGATCACCAAATTAGTGCTGTTTTAAAAGCTACTTTTTTCCAGCTAAGACAACTGGCCAAAATTAAACCTATTTTGTGAACGCAACACTTCGAAACTGTCATACATGCATTTGTGACGACTAGATTGGATTATTGTAATGCACTTTATGTTGGTGTCAGCCAAAATGCACTTTCCCGGTTGCAACGGGTCCAAAACTCAGCGGCTCGACTTTTAACTGAAGAGCATCTCACCTATTTTAGCTTCTCTCCACTGGCTCCCGGTGTTTTTTAGAGTTGATTTTAAAATTATTTTATTTACTTTTAAGTGTTTACAAGGCCAAGCGCCCTCCTACCTCACTGACTTGATCCACCCTTATGTCCCCTCTCGCACTCTCAGGTCTGCAGACCAACTCCAGCTCACCGTCCCAAAAACTGAAGGTAACTTTAGTCACAGCCCAGAGAAGTGCACAGGACAAGCTGTCACGATCACAGTGGGGCACGAGATGTCATTGCGCTGCCTGCAGTGTTCCACAGTATAGCATTAAACAGCTCTATTTTACATTTATTCAATTAGAGGTAGTTTATAGCTCCAAAATACATTGAAGAGCAGGTGTTCTGACTGTAAGCAGAGTAGCTTAGGCTACGTTCAGACTGCAGGGCTTAATGCTCAATTTGGATTTTTTTGTGAAATCCGATGTTTTTGTGAGGTCGTTCACATTTCCAATTAAATGCATGTTGTATGTGACTCCAGTGTGAACATTAAATGGCCCAAAAGTGTCCCGCATGTGCACTGGAGACACGATGACGTCAACCGCAGCGAGCGTGCTCTGTGTTTACAGAAGTTGTCCAAACATGGACTCGAGCATTGAGCACCTGGAGATTTTAAAGTTCCTCTCGCACCGGAGCCAGAACATGAACAACTTACTTGTTTTAAGGAGATTGAGAAGGAAAAGGACGAGGTTTTTGGCCGTGGTGTTTTGTGGGGCAGTGGCAGCAACGTCCCTTGAAAGGAACATGTGGATTTCGAAACGTAGCCAAGAGTGGTGAGTGGTGATGTGCTTCGCTTCAGTGACACAGAGTTCATTAACAATTTTCGCCTACTTCAGTGCAGAATAGTGACGTTTGTGGCTTGTTGATAACGTGTAGGTCGGATGGAATGCGCTTTGGCCATTCAGCCTGAAGTCGCATGTCAAAAGGTCAGATATGTATCGGTTTCAGGAGCACATATCCAAGTGGCCTGGGTTGTATTTGAAAAAAATCGGATCTGTGTCGTTCAGACTGTCATTAAAAAATCAGATACAGGTCACATAGGGGCCAAAAAATCGGATTTGGGTTTCTTCAGACTGCAGTCTGAACGCAGCCTTAGTCTGGTTTGGTCTCCATGAAGATAAAAATAATGCCATACTGTGAAACACTCTGAAAAAAACAATAACATCTCCAGCTGTTGACGGACCCTCCATCAGAAAAGTTACACAATACATAATAATTTAACACCCACATACATCAAACTTTTCAGTCTTGTACACATCAGATACTTATTTTCAGTAAGATTTAGTTTACTCAAATACTAAATAATCTGACTAAAATCCCCCTGTTTTTGGTTTGTGTCTAATGTCAACAAAGTGATGCGAGAAAATCAAAGCTGCTCTTTTCCTTTGGCACAGACAATTTCTTATTTTTGGAAAACAATAACCTATTTCATACATTCATGTAAATAAACTACAGAGAAAGTTTCAGCTATATCTCTCTTCATTTTCTCTCGAGATGGACAGAAATAAGTTTATAAAGTCCCCACTATTTTCTGATCTGTGTTATAATGTTGTTTCCTCGTCACAAACAGACCTGGAGTTGTGTTTTGTTTCATTCACACATGTTTAACACACAAATCCTGCGTATTTAAACTTTTTCTCGCAAACAGAAAACACTCTGTTCCACCTTGTGATGTCATGTGGTAATACAGGAAGTGCTCCACTGTGTTTTTAAATTCCACACACCTTCACTAGAATCATCTGGATAATTTCAATTCTTGCCAATCTCTACTGAATTGAAAAGTAGGTACAAAGTAGCTGTTAACCTGAAAATTACCGCTTCATGACATCACCATCATCATCAAGGTGGAACAGAGCATTTTGACTTTTGGAGATGTAGACAGATGAATAAATCAGGATTAATGAAATGTGTGAATCAAACAAAACATAACTTGGTATGTTTTAAAGGAGGTAACAGCATTATAACCTGGCTTAAAGCTCACAGGAGTCAATTTAGTGTAATATAGGACCTTAAGAGTCATCAGACTGATTTTCTTCACATGGCAAATGATTCATACTTCTTGTACTTCCCCAAAATTGTCAATAAGATTACTTACAGTAACCATCTATGCTGTCACCATAAACAGTGACTCTGCTGCACAAACATTGTCATTGTCTCACTGGTTTAAAGATTAGCTGACTGAACTGACTTTTATTGCATTGCCCACTCCCTTTTGAACTGGAAATCCTCTTAAACATTAACATTATCCAGCATTCTTTTACAGTTCTCCATGTTGTAATGTTTGCCTAATGGCACACAGGCACTTGCTTTGCAGAAGTAACTGACTACTAATTACTCCTTAAAGTAATTTAATTACTACTATGATTACTTTATTTCAAAAGTAATTTGATGACTGATACTATATGTTACTTTATATTTTATAGACACTTTTTGTGATAGAGCTGAATGACATGCACAGTCTTCCTTAACACCAACATTTGTGTTGTTTTGGTTCACAGCTGATCTCCCTCTGACACCGTCTGTGCTTCTGTTTCACTTTTTACTGTTTTACACTTCATAACACGCATTTGTATCAGAGAAAAAGTACTGAATTATAACTGTTACTGCATTATTAAAAAAGTAATCTGATTCCAGTAATCCCTTGCTTCATAACTAGTTACTGCCCAACAGCAGTTTATAATAATAATACTAATACTAATAATAATAATAATAATAATAATAATAGATTTTAATATATTACATATTACACTTACAAACAAACTGAAATTTAAAATGTGGCTTTACAATTTCATGTTTTTTTCAAAAACTTTCATTAGTTTTTGAAAAATTACATAATATAAATTTAAAGAATCACAAAGTTTATATCTAGTTTTTCTTTTGGCATATATATATATATATATATATATATATATATATATATATATATATATATATATATATATATATATATATATATATATATATATATATATATATATATATATATATATAAACTTGATTAAAAAATGTGAACTGTTCCTTTAAGACCTCAGTGGGAGGAGGACGTGACCTGCTTTTCTCCTTACCTGGCTCAAAGTATTGTCACTTCAGGTTTGATCGGTGGCCTTACAGGTAGGCACACACTTTTTGTTATTTTTATTATAAGTAAAAACAAAACTAACACATACAACAAAGTAAATATAGTGACAATAAGGAAGTCATAACCTCATCACATTGTCCTTATGCTATCAGTGACTGTGTTCCTGTGTTGTTGTTTTTTTGTGCTGCTTTTAATTGTAGGACCAGTACAACTTTTGCCACTCTTGTCTTTCAGAGAAATGCAGAGTGCAGAGTTTATCCCTCCAGAGCTCTCTCAGGGAGAGTCCTACCATGTCTTCTGCAGCTACAGCAGCACTGACTACCAGTGGACACACACTCTCATCCAGCACCTGGAGGACAGGGGCTTGAGGGTGTGTGACCATGAGAGGGACTTCACTCCAGGACGTCCCATCTTAAACAACATGTCTGAGTGCATTCAGCAGAGCCAGAAGGTGCTGCTGATCCTGAGTGAGGAGTTTGTGAGGAGCCGCTGGTGTTTGCTGGAGGCCAACATGTCCATGTTCAGAGACTGTCTGCAGAGGAAGCCCATAGTGCCAGTGCTGCTGCAGCGAGAGGTGCACATCCCTCTGCACTTGGCCCACCTCACCTACCTGGACATTCAACAACCAGACTTCAGACAGCAGCTGCTCAGGGTGCTGTGCACACCTAACCAGGAGATGCAGAGCTGCACTGTGGTGCCCTACCAGCCACCGTCCCTCTACAACGGCAAGAGTCTCGAGCCAGTGATTCCTGTCAATGAAGAGCAGCTCAATGAGTTCTCCTGTGGAGAGTGGAATGACACAGTGCCCCAACAGCTTCGACTGATCATTCAGGAGCCACAGCGTTATCGAGA